CGGCCGCCTGCTTTTAAAACCGAGGGGGGGGGGAGAGAAAGGAGGGGGTGACCGCGCCATCCGTTTCCCCTGCCGGAAGTGACATCCAATCAAATCTGGGAGCTAACGTGAAAGCGTGTGCTTTGACTTTTTGATGTTCAACGTGATGTTGCTGGTGAATGCGCCAGGGGGAGCCACCACTGGAACTTTTTATTGATGGATTTCAAACTTTCTTTTGCCAGATAGAACATGAAGTGCTGCTTCTTGTTTCTAATGTTCATCCAAACCTTATTTTGGTTTGTCACTTTCTGCTCGACTCAAGACGATACAGGAAACACAATTGCAAAATAAAAATGCCACACGTTGAATGAAAATGTGTCACTTTTTTTTCTGTTTCAAAAATGTTTAGCGTTCGTTGAATGTTACAAGATGGCTCAGAAATAAGTCTAAAACATATTCTTGTAATATTCTGAAGTTTGTCTCACAAACGTGAGTTGTTTTTTGTTTTTTTTTTTAATTTGATTCTCTCAGTTTAATGAAAAACAACAACTTTATTTCTGGTAAGACTGAGAATTTTGCGTTGACTTTGAGTGTGGTCTCTTTCATCAAGGAGAACGTGACGATGAAACAAGGCAAATCACTTACGTTCCGGTGACGGGGCCCTCGAGAGGTGGCGGACTTGGCCCCAAGGAAGTCCTGAGACGCCTTTGCACTGGAAGCTGTCACCTGATATCTGAAGCCATTTCCTCCTCAGCCCAACCAACTCCTTGTTCCTTCCTCCTTCGAAACAAATCCATCGGCCTTTCTCTTTCTCTCTCCATCTTCATCCTCTTCCTGTGGTACGATAAGGACGCAGGAAATCCACTGGGCCACTTCCTGTCACACTCTAGATGGAGACATGACATTGAAAGACGAGTTGAACATCCTTCATGAAATGAGCAAAAATAAATAAATTAATCAGATCAACAGTGACAAATGAACTCACATTTCAACACAAAACGGAAGAGACAGATTAAACGGTTTTCATTTTTGGCCAATATGAGAAATAATTGTTGACAGTGATCGTAGTGAGAATTGAATAGATGATTGACAATGAAGTTGTCACATTTGCTTTGGATTTGATTGCTGACTTAAGTTTAGCAGAGTGTGTGTGTGTGTGTGTGTCACTTCCGAGGATTGTTGCATCCAAAGCCTGGTGAGGGGGATAAAACGGTGTGTGACTAAAGGGGGGCTGAAGAGAAAAGTGAAAGCCGACTGAATCCACGGAAACAAACAAACAAACACATTGAGTTCCATCACATAGACCTGAGCTGTTTTTTAAACATCATTTTAGAGCTAAGTGTTGCGATTAACGCATTGCTAAGATCATGAAAGAAAGCTTTTTAATTGTTTTTTAAATTTACACTTGCGCAAGTTAATACCCTGTCGCATTAAGGGAAAATGCTACGTTCGTAGCATTTAGCCTACAAGTATGTTCGAACTTGCGGGGACAGTCTGAACGTATTTGGAGGTCAAAATGTTTTTTCTCCACACTTCCGTCCACTTGGCCGATCCGTGTATGACTCGATAAATCAGGTTTTTTCCAACATCGAGAAAAAAAAAACAGTGAAAGTTCCATACACACAGTAACATTTCCATTGAAGTTTCTGTGGCACAAAAAAGGGACTGCACGATTAACTCCAAAGGATGCCGAGACTACATTTTCAGTGTCTGGCCAGCAGGCGGCAGCGCGTTCCCATACATGACGTCAACTTAGGCAACCGCGACAAAACAGACAAGATTTTGAAGAATAAACCAAGAACGACGGCGTGGAAGCAACTACGAAGCGTGTAAATTGTAACAGCGGTGTTCATCAATCAGCACTCCGACCACCTATTAATCAATTTATCAGGGTTTTGCCCAGGAAAATCTCCTGGAAATTGGAAGCCAGAGGATGTTTTTCCGGGTATGCGCGTTGAGGCTGCGCACAAGTACTGGACGTACTTGTATTTCGTCTCCTGTTGGATTCTAGCAGATTCTTTCTTCGCTGCAGACCACAGCAACGATCACAGGTATGAAAGCAAAGCTTAGAGATCATTTATGCAAGTGCACAAAATATGATTTGCAAAATGTTTCTATATGCAAGTTTTAAAATGACCGTTTAAGAAGTAAAAGTATACTCTTGTGATAAACGCCCTGGTTACGGATTGTTAATTTAGAGTAACAGAAGATCAAACGTGCTCATTGATCGGGACGTTTCATGTGAACAAGTTAAAAATGTCCAATATGTTTTTTTGTGGCGCCAGTTTGACACATTGCAGGGCTTTTTTTTGCCGCTGAACACTATCGCCAAAATTTCAAGAATGCGTCGGGGTCAAAGTTCATTAAGTTAAAATGGGGTCAAAGTTCATTCAGTTAAAATGTGATACACACACTTTAACTTAAGTTCTATGTCATTCTTGGCTCACCTGCTATTGTATTGAGATGCACACTCCATTATCTCATCCTGCAAACAAATTCATTATTGTGCCATTGTTTATGCCACCTATTTGACATTATGATGCATGATCTGTAATACAGTAAATAAATCTAATCGACAATATTTCTTTTCAATAATTTTCCGGTGATGTAAGGAGAAGGTGTCACCATGACTCAGCAAATCTGGGTGTTGTTGGAATGGACAAAATCTCTTGATCACATTTCTTTTCGATGGAACATTTTACTTGTAATAAAGTGCACCTTGAAGTACAAGGTACACAGCAAGATGTTAATCTTCACAAGTCGTAAATGTAGTGTAAATGACGCGCGTGCTACAAGCGTGGAATCACATTCGTCAAGTATTACAAAGTATTCAAATGGGTATTTTTTCACTGATTGATTTTTTTTTTCACGCATTGATTACGTATGCCAAGAAAGAACACTTGCTTGTTTGTTCATACACTGGCTGCTTTGTTGAAAGCAAATAAACTGAGTTGCAGGCCATGTTTTCAGCGGACACTCACCCAACTTCATCCATGTCTTGATATTGTCGTCGCCACTATTGTGTCACAAATATAGAAACCATCAATACAATACATTCAGAATGAATATTTCCTCAACAGTTGCAACTAGTGATTGATGAGCGTCAGGAAGTGGGTCAGCATGTCCCGTGGGGCAAAGTAGTTCTTCCGCAGTGTCACATGAAGGACGGATAAATTGTTTCCATTCATTCTTCTTTAAACATTTCCTCACGTCAACTTCAACCAGAGATGTCCAGCAAGGTCGCCGTGGTAACGGGGGGCAACAAAGGCATCGGCAAGGCCATCGTGCAGGCGCTGTGCAAGGACTTCCAGGGTGACGTCTACCTCACTGCCAGAGATGAGTATGTCTTGTCACATGATGAACACGTGACCTCCTCAACACCAAAAAAGACTCATACAAAATGAAAACATTCTTTTTTTCCCGATAGGGGGCGTGGTAAGGAGGCCGTAGCGTCCTTGAGCGCTGAGGGTTTGAAGGCCATCTTCCACCAGCTGGACATCAATGACGTTGGCAGCATCAGAAAGGCTGCTGACTTCTTTAAGCAAAAGTATGGCGGCGTGGACGTGCTTGTCAATAATGCCGCCATTGCTTTTAAAGGTAGCACAAATCTACAGTACCTACTGTATTTTTCACGCTATAAGTACCACCTTAAACGCTGGTAGACATTCATGACCTGACCTGCTGTCCGTTGCCAGCAATGGTTGCATGAGAAACAGGGATCGCACTGCCGAGATGGCTGCATTTATGGCACTCCTTCACTGTGCTCCTGAAGCTCAACTCCAAATGCTTCTTTTTGCCCTCATTTGCTCCTTAAACAGTCACACAGAAACTTCCGCATTTCCCTCTTGTGGCAGCCCGCTGTGCCCTCACGTGTGCACACTCCAACAACACTTACTTTTCCGTGCCTTTTTGTCATCCGTGTTTAGTGGCCGACCCGGCGCCGTTTGCCACGCAGGCCGATGTGACGCTGCGGACCAACTACTTTGCCACACGGGACATGCTGACCCACTTCCTGCCGCTCATCAAAGCAGGAGGTAGCGACACGCACACTCTGGCGCACACTCTCCTTCCCGCAGGTGGTCGTCTTGAGCCACGTCAGATTTAAAGATTCGATTTGACCTCACAATTGAAGGTTCAGACTCGAGACGACACTCAATGTCGCCGTCGTCTTCGTTTTTCAGGCCGCGTGGTCAACGTATCGAGCTTCGTGAGCGTGTACAGCCTGCACAAGTGCAGCGAGGAGCTGCAGAAGCGTTTCCGCAGCGAGGACATCAGCGAAGATGAGCTGACGACTCTCATGACGCGCTTCGTGGAGCTCGCCAAGAATGGCCAGCACAAGGAGGGGGGGTGGCCCGAGACCGCCTACGGAGTCTCCAAGATCGGTGTCACGGTACAGCACGGCAACTTTGATCAGCACTTGAGACGTGTTTGGCTCAACAAAAGTATTTGGACACTTACGGCAAGTCAAAAGTATCGGGACACATCCAATAACAAAGGTGGGGTTTGCACAAAAGCATCGGCTCACCTGCAGTGAAAATTAAAGACAAGTGTTGACAAAGTTTTGGGACACCTTTACAGGAAGAAAATGTGGGGGTGAGGGGCCAGGGGGGAATGATGAAAAATAAGGAAATATGTGGAAAGAAATGTATTGGGATGCATGGCCGGAAGTCAAGGGTGAAGAAACTCCAAAAACAAAAAGTATTGGGACACATGCAGTCGACGAAAAGTGAAGGAAAGGTCGTCTATGGAAAAAAGTAAAACAAAGAAAAGAGCAGAGTTTGGACAAAATAATTTGAATTTATACAGTACTACTAGGTCGGCAGAATGTGGATGACCTCAATACGCGTCTTGATCGATAATGTCATCGTGACTGTCAGCGTGTGTTCTTTCAGACGCTGTCGATGATTCACGCAAGGCGTCTGTCCAAAGAGAGACCAGACGATCAGGTAAAGAGCACACGGTGTCCTTTCGGAAAGTCTCGCGGGTGTTGAATGTCTCCTGTGGAATGCAATTCTGCGGTGGTTATGCTCAGATCCTGGTGAACGCGTGCTGTCCCGGCTGGGTGCGCACCGACATGGCGGGCCCCAAAGCCACCAAGTCCCCAGCGGAGGGCGCTGAGACGCCCGTCTTCTTGGCTCTTCTTCCAGCCGGAGCTTCGGCACCTCACGGCAAGTTTGTGTCGGACAAAGCGGTCCAGGATTGGTGAAGCCCATGATGTCTCCTCTTTCAGCCAGATGACATCACCCGAACGACCGTGCAGTGGAAAGGGAATGCAATGTTTCCACAAGCTTTGAAATACAAGTCAAGAAAGGCATATCAGAGTGAACGTGGAATGACACATTCTACCACAAATAAAGAAAAGAATGATTTTGAACAACTCATGTTACATTTCTGATCTAATCAAGACGGTATTGGAAGCACCTATTTTTTATTATTTGCCAATATTTCACAGCTCAATCAAACAAAAATGTGAGTAAAATATACAGTTGAGGCCGGTGTCAACGTACCTCGGGGGACATAGTGAATCTGTGCATTCTAACGGTAGTTCGTTGTACCCGTTTCCAATAAAATGGCCGCCAACTACCATGTAGAATACAATGTGAACATTTAGAGATGTAAAAAAACATGAGCATGTCATACAGTATAAACGTGTCAATTACCAATACATGTATATGGAGAAAACGTGATTTTATAAGACATGAAACAAAGAACTTCATCTACTTGATCTCTGAAAACATTCAGTCAGTAAATGTTACCCCGCCATACGCAAGTGCCAGTCCCACCGAAGGTGAGAAACAAGTTTGGCCTTCACAGACAGTGAGATTCACTTCCGTTGACCAGAGAGTGGTTTCAGACCTTGTGCGCTGTGCCCCCGGAAGTACAACAACATACGAGTCGATCAGAAGTGGAGGGAATCTCGCACTGTACATTTTGATCACGGCCAAGTTTGCGGCGGCAGTTAGCTTCCCGCGGTTCGTCGTGAAGGCCTTTTCACTATTTTGTGGGAAACATCTGGTCGTTATCATCAAGTTGATGTCATCAAGGTGTTCTTTGTTAGCAAAATCAATCAATGGAAAATAAATGATGTGAAATCGGGACTTTGAAATGTAAATTTTTGAGCGGTGAAAACGTAAATAGTCAAAACGAGGCTCGACTGCAGTCAAAAGTGAAGTCAAATAAAATGAATTCTAGTGACACTCAGTGGTCATGTTGGGTATTACATAAAAATACAGTGGAATTGGGCGGCACGCTGTCGACTGGTTAGCATGTCCTCCTCACAGCGCAGAGGGCTGGGGTTCGATTCCTTCTGTGTGGAGTTTGCATGTTCTCCCCGTACCGGCGTTGGTTTGCTCAGGGTACTCGGCTTTCCTCGCACATTCCCAAAACATGGGGGGCAGGTTCATGGAACGCTCGAAATCATTCCTAAGTGTGATTGTGTGTGTGAATAGTTGTTTGTCTCTGTGTGCCCTGCGAATGGCTGGCAACCAAGTTGAGGGTGTACCCCAAAGTCAGCTGGGATAGGCTGTGGCACGCCCGCGACCCTCCTGACGATAAAGCAGTTCGCATAACGGACGGATCGATGGATACAGTGGAACTGAGGGTTTCAATTAGCAACCTGAGATGTGGCTTACCATTAAAAACCATTTGCAAAAGGACTTTTTTTTTTCCTATTCCCAACTCGCTCCAAAATCCTCCGTGACTGACAGTTTTGTTCGCCACTGAATTGTCGTTTCACGGCTCGAAAGCCAAAATGTCACCGCGCGCGCTAATAACCGCTCGTTTGTGTCATTGTCGCAGCGTGAAATAAGTCAAGATGCCCAAGTCCTCTTTGACTTTCTAATGGCTTTATTCCACAATGAAAAGCATCACTGACAACCTTTCGGGACCTTTTCTCAGGAGTGTTGAGCTCGCCCGAAAATCGAGTGTGTGTTGCGTTGTCATCGTGTTGACATTTCGCCGGCTTTGTGTTGACAGTGGCCGACAACACGTCACACTGAGTGAAAGTATCCGACTTGGCATTTTACTCTTCGACTTCATGTCGCCAAGCGTTTTAGACACATGAAAACAAAGGACATACGTCCTGTCGATAGCTTTGTCAAAATGATGGAAGGCAGCGAGGGGAAAATATATGATGCTTTAAAGCGGCGGTTGTTTTAAAGTGTTCTCGAAATACACTCGAGTTGAGTAGGAAATCGCATCGCATCGAATTGTCATCGGAATTGATCACACTGTATATTTTATTGTCGTGAAGTATATCATATTATTTTGTGCATGCAAATACGTCATGTTTTTCTGCTTTCTTCCCTCCAAATTTTGCTGCTGTAAATGGTGAATTTTTCCATTGCGAGACAAATAAAGATTTTCTTATCTCATCTTATATCCAATTTGATGGTCACAGGAGATCAGCACATTTTCATGGAATTGTACCAGATCAAATTTGATCTTATCACGATCGGAGCGACTCCTATTATATTGTATGGGAGTATCCTCGTATAGTATCGACTTCAGTGATCGAGGGTTGTGTTCCTACCACGGACGGACGTAAAGTGGAAAGTCCCATGTACATCATCTGAATTGGACAGCGTGGGAGATGGACTAATCCTGTGATCTGCAAAACGACTGCCAACAAACACAAAGTGACCACCGTCGTCTGTCTCGCCGTCACACTCATCACTGTCATCAGCAGCAGCAACACACGCACCACAGTCACTCCACACACACACACGCACACCACCGTTTTGTGATGTTGGATGTGTCATTGATGCCATCTCACCATGATATGATGTATTTCTTTGAATGAATGGGTGTGCGGGAAAGAAATCACATTTCCACACAACGGAACTAATCCTCTGTGTGCAGAAATAAAAACCATATATGACACTATATTCGCAGCTCACATTTGTGTGTCAGTCAAAGTGA